CTTTGCCCGCGCACTCAAAAGTCCAAGGTTGCGGGCGCAGCGCAGCGCGGAGTCCCCGCGACGCGCGCAGGTCGCCCCGGAGGGGTCCCAGCGACGCGCGCGGGTCGTCCACTGCGCGGAGCAAAAAGAGCTAGCTGGCTGGCTGATAGCGGGCAAGGCTCTTGCCGCTGCAGAGAGACGACGGGACGCATGCGGGAGAGAGCTCCCTATGGGGCCACGGAACTGAAATATGCGCACACCCACTGGGACCTTCGGTGGAGCTCCCTATGGGGCCACGCGTGTGAGGGGTGTGCCTTGCGGGACGCATGCGGGCTGGGCGGTGGAGATGGGGAGACGACGGGACGCATGCGGGCACACCCACTGGGACCTTCGGTGGAGCTCCCTATGGGGCCACGAAACGTGTGAGGGGTGTGCCGAAATGGGTGTGCGGGACGCATGCGGGCACACCCACTGGGACCTTCGGTGGAGCTCCCTATGGGGCCACGAAACGTGTGAGGGGTGTGCCTGCGGGACGCATGCGGGCCACTGGGGGTCTATGGGGCCACGAAACGTGTGAGGGGTGTGCCGAAATGGGTGTGCGGGACGCATGCGGGCACACCCACTGGGACCTTCGGTGGAGCTCCCTATGGGGCCACGAAACGTGTGAAGGGTGTGCCGAAATGGGTGTGCGGGACGCATGCGGGCACACCCACTGGGACCTTCGGTGGAGCTCCCTATGGGGCCACGAAACGTGTGAGGGGTGTGCCGAAATGGGTGTGCGGGACGCATGCGGGCACACCCACTGGGACCTTCGGTGGAGCTCCCTATGGGGCCACGAAACGTGTGAGGGGTGTGCCGAAATGGGTGTGCGGGACGCATGCGGGCACACCCACTGGGACCTTCGGTGGAGCTCCCTATGGGGCCACGAACGTGAGGGGTGTGCCGAAATGGGTGTGCGGGACGCATGCGGGCACACCCACTGGGACCTTCGGTGGAGCTCCCTATGGGGTCACGAAACGTGTGAGGGGTGTGCCGAAATGGTGTGCGGGACGCATGCGGGCACACCCACTGGGACCTTCGGTGGAGCCCCCATGGGGCCACGAAACGTGTGAGGGGTGTGCCGAAATGGGTGTGCGGGACGCATGCGGGCACACCCACTGGGACCTTCGGTGGAGCTCCCTATGGGGCCACGAAACGTGTGAGGGGTGTGCCGAAATGGGTGATGACGATGATGATGAAGATGGGAGGAGGGAGGGGGCAGCGGGAAGGAAGGAACGCGGGGCGCTGTCTCTTCAAAACGAGGACCCAACACCACAGGATGGTTGGGAAAAAAAAAAAAAAAAAAAAAAAAAAAAAAAAAAAAAAAAAAAAAAAAAAAAAAAAAAAAACGAAGGACCCAACCATATGCAATTGTGAATACAGCAATTCTGAATATCATCTTTGCCCGCGCTTCCTATGGGGCCACGAACCGTGCGAGGGGCGCGCCGACCTGCGTGGCGGGGCACACAACGCGAACGAAGACGATAGGTCTGTGTGCGAGAGACTGAGCGCGAGTGAATCTGATTGTGAATGAGTCTGCGTGCGAATCAGTCTACGCACATCAACGTCGACGCCCTTGTGGGCACGCTCCTCCCGAGGATCGCGCCCGCTTCCTTGCCGTTCTTTTTCTTTCGCCTTGACCGTGCACGCCCATGTCCGAGGCTGCAGGCGCGGCGCCGCACGGAGCCCCCGCGACGCACGCCGGTCGTCCCGAAGGGGTCCTGGCCACGTACACGGGTCGTCCGCTGCGCGGAGCAGAGAGAGAGAGCTAGCTGGCTGGCTGATAGCGGGCAAGGCTGTGGCCGCTGGGCAGAGAGACGACGGGGGGGGCCAAAAATAAGGCGGCACCGCCATGTGGGCTGCGCCAGTGGGACCTAAGATGGAGCTCCCTATGGGGCCACGAAACGTGTGAGGGGCGTGCCAAAATGGGGCGGCGCCGCCATGCGGGCTGCACCACTGGGACCTTAGGTGGAGCTCCCTATGGGGCCACGAAACATGTGAAGGGTGTGCCAAAAACAGGGCGGCGGCGCCAAGCGTGCGCCATTGGGACGTAGGTGAAGCTCCCTATGGGACCACAACACGTGTGAGGGGTGTGCCAAAATGGGGCGGCGGCGCCATGCGGGCTGCGCCACTGGGACCCTAGATGGAGCTCCCTATGGGGCCACAAAACGTGTGAAGAGTGTGCCAAAGTGGGGCGGCGCCGCCATGCGGGCTGCACCAGTGGGACCTGGGACCCGAGATGGAGCTCCTTATGGGGCCACGAAACGTGTGAGGGGTGTGCCAAAATGGGGCGGCGGCGTCATGCGGGCTGCGCTACTGGGGAGTTCCCTATGGGGCCACGAAACGTGCGAAGGGTGTGCCAAAATGGGGCGGCGGCGCCATGCGGGCTGCGCCACTAGGACCTTGGGTGGGGCTCCCTGTGGGGCCACGAAACCGTGTGCTGGGTGGGTGAAACGCAGGGAGGAGGGAGGAGAGGGAGGAGGAGGAAGGAAAGAGGAGGAGAACGCGGGGCACCGCCTCTTCAAAACGAGGGCCCAACACCACAGGATGGCTGGGAAAAACAAAGCAAGTAAAGAATGAAAACATACATATAACCAAATCAATCCAAAATACCATGCGACGTACCAAGCCCATCGGCACCAAGGGATGATATTCGGTGTGCCGACAATAGTGCGACAGCAACACTGCCAGAGACGGTGCACGGCGGATATCTATATCGTGCGAAGTGTGCGTGGCCGACTCGCAGAACAGAGGAACAAAAGGCCAGGCGGCATTGCACTGGGAAGGAGAAGCAAAAGGACGACAGTTTCACATTTCGCAGCCCCCCCCCCCTCAGGATGGCGAGGTCCCGCTCGGATCTGCGTGGGACCCCACTGTGCTGGCCCCCCCGGCAGCCCTCGAAAATGGCGACAGTTTCACATTTCGCAGCCCACCCCAGGATGGCGAGGTCTGTTTGGGATATGCGTGGGACCCCACTGCACTGGCCCCTCAAGCATGGTGACAGCTTCACACTTCGCAGCCCCCCAATGATGGCGAGGTTCCGTTTGGATCTGCGTGTGGCCCTACTGTGCTGGTTCCCCCAGTAGCCCTCGAAAGTGGCAACAGTTTCAAACTTCGCAGCCCACTACGAATGGCGAGGTCCCGGTTGGATCTGCGCGGCACCCCACTGTGCAGGCTCCCCCAGCAGCCCTCGAAAGCGACGACAGTTTCATGTTTCGCAGCCCACAAGAGGGATGCGAGAGGGGGGGCGAGGAGGAGGAGGAGGTGGAGATCCCATTGCTTTGATTTACATATAATAATAATAATAATAATAAGAAGAAGAAGAAGAAGAAGAAGAAGAAGAAGAAGAATAATCATAGTAAGAATAATAATTAACAAAAAATGCCCCACCCCACCCCTCAAAAACAAAAAAACTGCCCAGGCACGCCCGCGCCCGCGCGACGCTGGCGGAGGCGGCGGCGCCCGCGGAGGCGGCGGTGCCGCCCGAGGCGCCAGCGCTGCCCGCGGCGGCGCCCGCGGCGGCTGGCGCCCGTGCGGCGTCGGCCCTGCAGGCGCCGCGCGCGCCCGCGGAGCGCGCCGCGCCGCCCGCGCCCGCGGAGCGCGGCGCGCCGCGGGGGGCCCCGCAGGCGCCGCCGCGCGTCGCCGCAGAGGACCCCGGGGAGGTCCTGATTGAGATGTCGTGACGGCTTTGGTGGCGGTGGCGATGGTGACGATGGTGGCGATGGTGATGATGATGATGATGATGATGATGATGATGATGATGGTGATGATGATGATGATGATGATGATGATGATGATGATGATGATGATGATGATGGTGATGATGACGATGATGATGATGATGGTGGTGGTGGTGATGGTGGTGGTGGTGGTGATGGTGGTGATGATGATGATGATGATGATGCTGGTGATGGTCATGGTGATGGTCATGATGATGGCAATGGTTTGATGATGGCGATGATGGTGATGGTGGCGATGGTGGCGATGGTGATGATGGTGATGACGATTATGATGGTGTGGTGATTGTGATGATTATGGTGATGGTGATGGTGATGGTGACGATGATGGTGGTGGTGGTGACTGTGATGATGATGGTGATGGTGACGGTGGTGATGATGGTGATGATACATTGTGATGGTGATGGTGATGGTGACGATGATGATGGTGGTGATGGTGATGGTGAATTTGATGGTGATGGTGATGATGATGGTGATGATGATGATGATGGTGATGATGAAGATTATGATTATGATGATGATGCTGATGCTGATGATGATGATGATGCTAGCGCTGATGGTGATGGTTTAGATGATGATTATGATGATTATGATTAAGATGATGATGAGGAGGAGGAGGATAATGTTGATGATGATGATGATGTTGATGATGATGACAGATGATGATGATGATGATGATGATGATGATGATGATGATGATGATGATGATGATGATGATGATGATGATGATGATGATGATTATGGGGGTACAGCGCAGATTCAAGAAATCCGCGCGGACCGTTAAAAGTTTATGTTTATGCCGTCGCTTGTTTGTCGAAGGAAGAGGTCCAGCCCTCCGCGGGTCCACGTTGTGAAAAAGTCACGGCGTCGGAGATCTGAAGGGATGGGGCCTTGAGGCCCTGAGGACAGGAGAGAGGGCTTCTGTGTTGATCTTGCGCTGTTCAAGGCCTCCCCGCCCTGGGGCCCCATGCCTCAGGGCCCTATCTGTGACGTGCCGAACACAAGCTTTCGGAGGCCCGCACGGGTTTCTTGGGTCGGCGCTGGGCCCTCCCGGCGGCGCCTCCGCAGCCGCACCCCTGGCGCGCTCGAGGGGGGCCCAGCGCCGGCCCGAGGAGATCCGCCCGGACCTCCGACAGCCCATGCTTGTGCGAACCTCTCCTTCCTCTGGAGGATGAGGCCGTACCCGCCGAGGAGGCGCCGACGGGCGGCTGGGCGGGCTCGACGCAGCTGCCAGCGGTGTCCTCGATGCTGGGGTCCGCGGCCGAGACGCTGAAGCAGATCAGCTCGCAGGCGTCGGGCGACGAGGTCTACACCACGCCCGCCGCCGCTGGCCTGGCCCCATCTTGGGCCCAGGATCGGTGTGCGTGCGTGCCTTTCTGGCCGAGCCCGGGGGGGTGGAGGGACGTACGCACCGCTCCTGGGCCCAGGAGGGGCCCGGCCAGTGGCAGTGGATGTGCGTGGGGCCCGTCCTCCGGAGGCGGGCATACTGGAGGCGCGGGTGGTGCAGACCCAGGAGGAGAACGAGGCCCGGATATCGCGGCAGAAGGCCGTCTTCGAGCAGAAGCTCAAGGAGCAGGCGCAGGAGAGCAAGGCGATCGAGGCGGTCAACACCGGCATCTCGCGGGAGATCGGGAGTCTGAAGAAGGAGAACTTGGAGACGGAGAAGCACGCGAAGGAGCTGCAGTCCACGAACCGCATGATGAGGGTCGAGCTCTCTACTCTGAAGGCCAAGCTGGCAGTGTCGAGGGAGTTCCTGACCGCCAGCTTGCTGAGCACCGACGACAGCAAGGCGCTGGAGCTCGACATCCTGCAGGACGCGCAGGCCAAGAAGCAGCGCGAGGAGCACCAGGCGGGTGGCTCGGGCGCGACGGCGCGGGAGAGCCACGACGCGGAGGCGCGGGAGGACGACGACGCCGCCGAAGAGGACGAGCCAGAGGCCGAGGACGCCCAAGACGACGACGAGGGCGAGGCGCGTGGCACGTCCTTCCTGGCGCTCTCGAGCAGCACGGTGGCCACCGGCGGCAGCATCGTCCGCGCGGACGGGGGCGAGGAGGCGTCCGACATCGCCGAGGCGGCGGACCGGCCGGCCTCCGACCCGCGGGACCTGCTGAAGGTGCTGTCCACCGGCGTGGACAGCCTGGAGAAGGAGGAGAAGGAGATCAGGGGCCACGTCAGGGTTCAGTCGGGCGTGTCCCTCTACAGGAGGAAGATTCCAAAATAGCTGTTTTGTTTTGAGTCTGGGGACGATTTCTGTTTCAGTATGTTTCGACCATGTTGGGGTACTTCTTGGCTATTTCTAATTTTTCGCCCAGAATCCGCCTGTAGGGGGACATTCCCGACCTACCCTTGGGGGGGGGGAACTCCGAGTTTCTTAGCAAGCGTCGGGGGGCGTCACCCCCTCCGACAGCCCCACATCGACCCCCGTCGCGGGCAGCCACCGCGCGCCGAAGGCGCTCCGACCCCCGTCGCGGCGCGGCGACGAGGCGAGTTTGACCCCCGTCGGGGGGGTACCCCACCACGCTTATTAAGAAACCCAGAGTAGGCTCGGGGCTCGATGATGTGATGACTTTGCTGTTGATGGTGATGATCATGATGATGATGATGATGATGATGATGATGATGATGATGATGATGATGATGGTGATGATGATCATGATCATGATCATGATCATGATCATGATGATAATGATGATGGTGATGGTGATGGTGATGGTGATGGTGATGGTGATGATGATGATGATGATGATGATGGTATGATGATGAGGATGATGGTGACGATGACGATGATGATGATAACGATGATAACGATGATGTGATGATGCTGGTGATGATGCGATGATAACGATGATGAGTAGGATGATGATGATGATGGTGATGATGATTAAGTTCCCTACCTAGGTCTGCCTAGAAGGGTTCTTACTCTGTGGGCTTAAAGGGGCCGGGCAGTGTTCCCCGCCCCGGGCGGTTCCCTCAGTATCCGCCCCGCGGTTCCCCCAGTTACGTCCCCTTAGCTTAGCGTCGCTTATCTCATCTTAGCTTAGCTTATTTCATCTTAGCTTAGCTTAGCTTCATCTTAGCTCAGGTCTATCTTAGCTTAGCTTACCTTCATCTTAGCTTCGCTGAGCTTTAGCATAGCAGAGCACAGCATAGCATAGCATAGCGTAGCATAGCGTAGCGCAGCACAGCATATCATAGCATAGCCCAGCATAGCATAGCATAGCGCAGCATATAATAGCATAGCACAGCACAGCATTGCACAGCACAGCATAGCACAGCGCAGCATAGCATAGCATAGCAGAACAGAGCATATCATAGCATAGCAGCAAAGCAAAGGCAAAGCAACAGCAGCGACAGCAAAGCAAAGCACAAGCAACGTAAAGCAAAGCAAAGCAAAAGCAAAAGCAAAGGAAAGGCAAAGCAAAAGCAATGTGCGACAGATGCCGAGCTAGCCTCGATGGCCGGACCGGAGCCCCCGCAAGCAGTACCTTCCGTAACCATTTCGGCTCAAGAAGATCCGCAGAGACTTCCGCAGAGACTTCCTACCTAGGCTCTGCCTAGAGGGTTAGCTTAGCTTAGCATAGCATAGCGCAGCGCGGCATTAGCATAGCGTAGCATAGCATCACATAGTCAAACATAGCATAGCATAGCATAGCATAGCGCAGCATAGCATAGCATAGAATAGCATAGCGCAGCTTAGCATAGCATAGCATAGCATAGCTTAGCATAGCACAGCGCAGCATGACATGGCATAGCTTAGCATAGCTTAGCATAGCATAGCGTAGCATAGCGCAGCATAGCATAGCATAGCATAGCATAGCATAGCATAGCATAGCGCAGCATAGCATGGCATAGCATAGCATAGCATAGCATAGCAACTAATGCTGTTTTCCTAGGGGCTCCAACTTCTAGGTAGGGTCGCACTGGGTAATGTATTAGTATGATGATGTTGATGATGATGATGCTGATGATGATGCTGACGGTGATGATGCTGATGCTGATGATGATGCCGATGATGATGATGCTGCTGTTGATGATTATGATGATGATGGTGATAAAGTTGTTGATGATGATGTTGGTGACGATGTCGATGACGGATCGCCCAGCCATCGCCGATAAGGAGGTTGATGGCCCACCCCGCCGAGGCGCGTGCGGAGTCGCTGTCCGGAGCTGGCCGCCGATCCATCGGCGACGCATCGCCAATTCCATGTCCTTTCCCCATCGGCCTCAATTGGAGTTCCACCGGCCTCCAGACCCTGGATTCCTTATCGAAGGGTTCTTTATCCAATGCCCCCACCGTAGGCTCGGGGGGGTTCATCGACGGATCGCCCACCCATCGCCCATAGGGAGCCCGATAGCCCACTCCGCCGAGGCGCGTGCGGATGCGCTATCCGGGGCCAGCCGCCGATCCATCGGCAACCCATCGCCAGTTCCAGGTCGTTGTTTCCCCCCTGAGCTGGTCCCCCTTAACATCCAGGCGATCGCAAACATGGATCAAGGGGGCGTGGATTAGCGACGGGTCCCGTTTCCATGGTAAATCGCAGATTTCCGCCGCCGAGCGAGGCGGCACCGGTCGCATTTCGGGGAGGGCCCCTTCCCCGATCCATGGCTTTGGCGACCGCGCGCCAAATCCATGGATCGCGAATCCATGTTCGCGCGCCCCCGACTGACATTCCCCCTCAGGAGAGCGAGTCGAGGCTCAAGGCGCTGTTCTTGGCGAGCTTCCGGGACGGCACCCAGCGGCGCAAGGCCTTGCTGCTGCAGCAGGGGCAGCTGAACGCCACGCGGGCCACGCTCCTCGACTACCGCGCGAAGCTCCAGGCGGCGGACGGGCACCTGCCCGCAGATCCGACGCTGCGAGGAAAAAACAGCACCGCGAAACATCACGACTGGAGGAGGAGGAGGAGGAGGAGGAGGAGGAGGAGGAGGAGGAGCCCTAGACCCACTCCTTCTGCGCCACTCCTCGAGCCGGATCCATCTGCGCAGGTCCTGGGGCCTGGAGCGGGGCGAGGCACGCCCGGGGCGGGGCACATGCAGGACGCCAGGATCTCTCGGGGCCCCAAGGCGGCGGACGGGCACCTGCAGCGCACGCGCGGCGAGCTGGAGCACCGCCTCCGCGCCGTCGGCGCGTTCCTGCAGCGCCTCGCGGCCGCGGCGGTGGCCCCGCCGGCGGCCGCAGACCGGCAGCTGCGGGACCTGCCCGCCGCGGTGGCGGCCCCCGACGGGCCCGCCGACGGCGCCGCGGGGCCCGCGGCCCCGTAGGGGCCCCGTAGCTGCCCGGGCCGTCGCCCCGCAGCGGCGGCGCGGCGGGCGGGCCCGCCCCGCTCTGGCGGCTGCTCCGTCCGCGGGCCCGCCCCGCTCTGTCGGCTGCTCTGGCCGCGCTGTGAAAAAGCACGACGGGAGGTTTCTCTCTGTTTTCGGCCTCACGGGGGCCCTTAGGGGGCCCTGGAGCCGTCAACAAAGGACTCGGGATGAAAAGCCGGCCCCTGGGATCTAGGCCTCCTAGATGGGGTCGGAGTAGATGGGGTCGGAGGATCGCGCCGCATCGCCGATGCATCGCCGATGCGGCTCGATGTGGAGTCCGATTTGCTTCGCGTCGACGTCGCCGATGCATCGCCGACGTCGACGATGCATCGCCGGTGCATCGCCGATACATCGCCGATGTATCGCCGATATATCGGCGATGCGGCGCGATCCTCCGACCCCATCTACTCCGACCCCATCTAGCAGGCCTCTAGCAGCTAGGGGAACAAACAATAACATAAACATCTGGCGCGAGGAGCGCGCCAGGGGCGGCGCCGGAGGCGCCGCCAGGGGGGCCCAGCGCCGACCCAAGAAATCCGCGCGGACCTCCGAGTTATGACATGTTTATGTCATGTTTCGCTCCCCTAGCAGCGGGCTCTTCTGGCGGCGGGGCGCCGAGAGCCGAGGGGCAGCCCCCCACCCAGGACGCGGCCGTCGCCCCCCGCCAGTGGCGTCGGAGGCGTGGCGCTGTCGACTGCACGTAAGAGTGGCCCTTCGCCAGAGTGACCTGTGGTGCGGGCCCATTGGGGCCCCCGGATCTCCGCACGCGATGCGATGGTAGCGTCTTGCGCGCTCCTGTTTGGTCCACCCGCGGCCCCCGAGAAGCCGCGCACCAGAGGTCACTCCTCCCCAGTGGAAAGTTTCTCCGAAGGGCTTAGGCGACCCGTCCTCGTCCTCTCTCTCCTCCTCCTCCTCCTCCTCCTCCTCCTCCTCCTCCTCCTCCTCCTCCTCCTCCTCCTCCTCCTCCTCCTCCTCCTCCTCCGCCTGCGCCTCCGCCTCCGCCTCCTCCTCCTCCTCCTCCTCCTCCTCCTCCTCCTCCTCCTCCTCGGGTTGCCTACGGCCCCGGGGGAGACCGTGCACTGCCCAGGATGACTATTGCGTGTAGCCGACGCCGCCCCGGCCTCGGGGGCGAGCAGCGGCTCTCCCGCTCGTTGGCGCCGGCCTTGGGGGCCTGGGGTGGCCCAGCACCGGCTCCGGCGAGCAGGCCGGCGGGAGAGGTGCGAGGTTCTGGGCTTCAAGTCGGACCTGTCCCTCTACAGGAGGAAGCTTCCAAGGATCGTCAGAAATCAAGCAGTCTGGGGACGGTGTGTCGACCATGTTAAGGACTGTTCTGGGGCACTTGTTTCGACTATGGTTAGTCCTTCGCCCAGAATCCGCCTGTGTGAAGAGGAGATGCCCGACTTCATTCTGGGCTCGGGGCGGTTCTGGGGGGCCGTCTGTCGGCCTTCGGGGGCCGTGCTCGGGGCCTGGGGCTGTCGAGAGTGGATCTGGGGTGGAAAATTATGGCGCCAGATGGACCACCCTCCCCTCTCCGCCGTCCTCCCTCCCGCCGCCTCCTCCCCCATCCTCACCCGTGAAGCAGAAGAGAGGCGTAGAGGGCGGTTGTCCAAGCGGGGCAGGTAGCCGGCCAAGGTCATCCAAAGTGTGTCCCAGGACCACTTCCAGGGTCCAGGCGCACCAGTTTTTGGAGCCGCGCTCAACCGTGGCGGCGAGGGGAAGCTTTGAGGGCCAGGAAGCCTGGAATCTCGATCCTCGAGGTCCGAAGCCCTTCGCGCGTTTCGGTCCTAACTCGAGCCTCTGGCGGAGTCATGGCGGATCTGGGAACCGATTTGGAACGGATCTGGCTTCTTCCCCCCACCCCTCCTCCTGACCGATTCCCTGGGGCCCCAGCGCCAGCTCAGACCCCCTGGCCGCCTCCAGTGCTGGCCCTCTCACCCCTCGCCCCTCGCCCTCCCCCCCTGGCGTCCGACGCAGCGGAAGACCTGCGACCTCGTGAAGGATCACCACCGGAAGACCCCTGGGCCCCGGACCCCGGTTGGAGCGACGCAAAAAAAGAGGCGTCCTCGCCGACGCTCGCGCGCAGGCCACCGCGCAGGGGCGCCACGCCACCGCGCGCGAGCGAGACCCGCTGTGGATCGTCGCTCGCTTGTCTCGGGCCGGACGAAAGGGGGGGATTGGGAAAGGGGGGGTTACGAAATTTGCTGCATGCAGCTGGTTTCGGCCCCACCGAGGGGCCCATTCCTCGATACATGGCCGCCTCCGGCGCCGGGAGGCGCCGGGAAAATCAGCTGCGCGAGCTGCTTCTCAACCCCCCCCCCTTTGCTATCCCCCCCTTTCGCCCGGCCCGGTTGTCGAGGCAGATCCGTCCGTGACGGGCCCAGCCGTGCGAGATCGCCTGGCTCGACGAAGCTTGGGCACCAGGACCTCCGCGCCGGATCTCCGACTCGCGAGCCTGTCTCAGCGCGGGCCCCCTTCCCCGGGACCGGCTCGGCCCTCCTCCTCCTCCTCCTCCTCCTCCTCCTCCTCCTCCTCCTCCTCCTCCTCCTCCCCCTCCTCCTCCTGCTCCTCCTCCCACTCCTCCTCCTCCTCCTCCTCACCCTCCTCTCCTCCTCCTCCTCATCATCATCATCCTCCTCCTCCTCCTCCTCCTCCCCTCCTCTCCCCCTCCTCCTCCTCTCTCCTCCTCCTCCTCCTCCTCCTCCTCGTCCTGGGCCGGTGCTTCGGCGGTCCCCAGGGGCCGGCGAGAGGGCCCCTGCAGTCCGAAGATGGCGACCAAGGTTCCCGCCGTTGGTGGCCCACAGCGATGACATCGGGCGCGTCCCTCTACAGGAGGAAAACTCCTCCTCCTCCTCCTCCTCTCTCTCTCTCTCATCCTCCTCCTCCTCCTCGCTCTCCTCCTCCTCTCCTCCTCCTCCTCCTCCTCCTCCTCCTCCTCCTCCTCCTCCTCGTGTCCCTCTACGGGAGGAAAATTCCAAAATAGTCAAAAAATAGGCTGGCTACGAGGCTTTCAAGATCTGCTTCTGATGTGTTTATAAACATGCTCTGCAATGTTCTGACAATCTTTGATCTGTCGCCCAAGATCCGCCTGTAGGAGGACACGCCCGACCCAACACAACGAGCGGAGGTGGAGGCCCCCCCGTCCCCGGGGAGTGCCCGCGGCGAGCGGCGCCTCGCCCGTGGCAGCCGTCCGTTGTCTCGGGCGGCTCGCTTCCTCGGTCGGCCTGCCCGCTCTGGCGGCGCATCTCGGACGAGGCCGACGTCGGCGAGGCCCTCTGCGCGGGGAGAAATCGGGCATCTCCCCCTCCTCCTCATCCCCCCCCCTTCCCCCTGGATCCTCCCCTCTCAGACCCCCTCGCGTCTTGAAGCAGGCCTCACGACGGAGGGCCTTTCGCTACGTTCGGCCCCCAGGGGCCCTCACCGGGCCTGGGGGCCGCGAAAAGACGACTCGGGACAAAGGCCCGTCCCCAGGAAGGGGTCCAGACCTCTGGGAGCCCACGTCGTGAAAGCTGTCCTGGCGAAGGACCCGACCATATGCAATTGCGCGTACCGCAAGGCAGGTGGGGGGAAGCTCGCTATGGGGCCACGAAAAATGAGGACGTGCCGAAATAATACGCGAGGAGTCGCATGTGGACCCTGTCACTGAAGCCTCAGGTGGAGCTCCTTTTGGGCCACTGAACGTGTGAGAAGTGTGCCGAAATGACTCCCTGTGGGTACACGAGGCGCGTGAGGGGTGCGCCGAAATTTGGTGGCGCTGCCATGCGAACTTTGCCCATGGAGCCGCCGGTGGAGCTCCCTGTGGGGCCACGAGACGTGTTGGGCGGTGCCGCCATGCGTGCGCTGCCACTGGGGCCTTCGGTAGAGCTCCCTATGGGGCCACGAAACGTGTGAGGGGTGCGCCACCATAGGGCAGGGCCGCACCGCGCACTTTGCCACTGAGGCCTTCGGGGGAGCTCCTTGTGGGGCCACGAGACGTGCGAGGGATGCGCTGGAATGGGGCGAGGCTACCATGCGAACTTGACCCATGGAGCCGCCAGTGGAGCTTCCTGTGAGGCCACGAGACGTGTGAGGGGTGCGCCGCGGTGAAGCCATGCGTGCGCTGCCACTGGAGCCTTTGGTGGAGCTCCCTATGGGGCCACGAAACGTGTGAGGGGTGCGCCGACATGAAGCGGGGCCGCCATGCAAATTGTGCCATTGCGGCCATCGGTGGAGCTCCTTGTGGGGCCAAGAAACGAGTGAGCGGTGCGCCAACATGGGGCGGGCCGCCATGCGAACTTTGCCACTGGGGCCTTCGGTGGAGCCCTTTGTGGGGCCACGAAACGTGTGAGGTGTGCGCCGAAGTGGGGCGGGGCCGCCATGCGAACTTTGCCACTGGGGCCCTCGGTCAAGCTCCCTATGGGGCCACGAAGCGTGTGAGTGGTGCACCGAAACAGATATATGAGGAGGGCAGAGGCAAGGGAGACAGGAGGGAGGACGGGAGGAGGGGAGGAGAGGAGGTGGGACGCGGGGCGCGGTCTTTTCAAAACGAGGACCCACCACCACAGGATGGTTGGGAAAAACACGATGCCGGGGGTCTGGGCCTCTGATCCTCCCCCCTCCTCACCCTCCTCGTCCTCTTCCCTCCCCCCCCACACCTGTTCCCACTCCTCGTCGCCACCGTCGCACGCCATCGCCACCACCGGCACGGCGAGAGGAGGTCCACATTGCCGCCCCGCGTGGAGTCCTTGCGTCCGCGCAGGGCCCGCGCTGCAGCCGCCACCGGTCGAGCACTCTCTGCGCCCCCCGGGCAGCGCACGGAGCATGCCCTCCGCCGGTGCGGCTGCAGCAGCAGCGCGCGAATGCCAGGGAGGCAGGCCCGAGGCAGCTGACGTATCTCGGCGGCGCGCACAGTGCGGTGGTGCGAGGTGGGGGGCCTTCTAGGAAAGGCGGCAGGGGGGGGGCTGCTTAGAAGGAGCGGGGCCTTCCTGGAGGCGCCCGGAGGCTTCTCAGAAGGCGTCTTGGAAGCCTCTGGGCGCTCCAAAGCAGGGCTGGCCCTCTGAGAAGCCCCCTCTGCCTCCTTAGCAGGCCCCCCCCCCCCCAGGCGCCACCCCCGCGCACGCGCCGCCAACTGTCGCCGCTTCGGATTTCCGATCGCCGGTGTTCCTCCTGCTCTCGGCCTGTCGCGGGCGCGCAGCCGTGCTCGGAGGCCTCGCTTTAAGGCGGGCACGTCGTTCTATAGGAGGCAAATTCAAAAATAGTCAAAAAAATAGCTTGGGGACGATGTTTTGACTGCTTTTGAGCTTCGGGTTTTTTTTGTTCGTCCAAGCTCCGCCTGTAAGGGGACACGCCCGACCTCATGCGTTCGGCCTGCCGCGGGCGCGCAGCCGTGCTCGGAGGCCGCGCAGCCGTGCTCGGAGGCCTCGCTCCGCGGTACTCCGAGCCTGCCGCCTGCCCGCGCGGCGCCGCGGAGGAGGCGCAGGCGGCCGAGCCGCCGGAGCCCGCGGCGGCCCCCCTGGCGGAGAGACGTTCCAGCACTCTGCGGCTCCCGCGATCCCGACGCAGAAAGTCAAGCCCAGTTTTCAGTCGGGCCTGTCCCTCTGCAGGAGGAGTCTTCCGAAATGATCCGGGCGAAGGGCCCCACCGTACGCAGGGGTGAGAACCGCAGGGCAGCGGGGACGAAACATGGAGAATTCCCCGTGGGGCCACGGACCGCGTGAGAGGTGCGCCGAAATGGGGCGGGGCCGCCATGCGAACCCTGCCACTAGGCCTTCGGTGGAGCCCCCTATGGGGCCACGAACCGTGTGAGGGGTGCGCCAAAATGGGGCGGGGCCGCCATGCAAACCCTGCCATTGGGGCCTTCGGTGGAGCCCCCTCATGGGGCCACGAACCGTGTGACGGGTGCGCCAAAATGGAGCGGGGCCGCCATGCGAACCTTGCCACCAGGGCCTTTGGTGGAGCTCCCTATGGGGCCACGAACCGTGTGAGGGGTGCGCAGAACGCGGGGCCGCCATGCGAACCCTGCCACTGGGGCCCTCGGTCAAGCTCCCTATGGGGCCACGAAACGCTGTACTGGGTGAGTAAAAAGCAGGGAGGAAGGAGGAGGGGGAGGAGGGAGGAGGGGGAGGAGGGAGGAGGGGGAGGGAGGAGGGCAGGAGGAGAGGAGAGGAACGCGGGGCAACGTCTCTTCAAAACGAGGACCCAATACCACATGATGGTTGAGAAATAGTCCAAACAAATAGTATGGGGATTACTTTTTGATGTTTTGGAGTATGTTTGACTATTTCAATTTTTTCGCCCAAGAATCTGCCTGTGGGGGGACAGGCCGACTTAAAGTTAGAGACAGGTGCTTCTGCTGCGTCCCGGGATGCTGCCTAGTTTTGCGGCAAGGATCCCCTTGTTGGCTTCACGGCAGCAGCTCGCCAGCTCAAGTCGGACAGGGACAGGTGCGAGTCGATGAACCCAGCCTCTCATGTCAGCACTCCCGACGGCAGCGAGGGCGAAGCCTCCAGCACCGCACAGGAGATGAACGATGATGCTGTCGACTCTGGCCAGGCGGTGGTGTCTCCTGCTGTCGTCGGGAGGGGCAGCGTCATCACCGTTGGGCTCAACGAGCACCCAGTGTCAGTGGCCATTCGGGCTCGCCTGCATCAACGGGATAATTTTCGCGAGTCTGAGAGGAGAGGGAAAGAGAGAGAGAGAGAGATATACATATAGAGAGAGGGAAACAAAAACAAAACAAAAAAATGAGGGGGAGGTAAGGCATCCACTCTCCCTTTCGCTCGCGCTGTCGCTTGGCGGCCCCGCCCCACGTGCTGCAATAAAAATCCCTGCGCGTGTGCCCCAGCTCTGGTTTCCTGCATGCCCTGGAGTGCCGCGAGCCCGAACGCAGTAACGTCTTCCCGCGCCGCCTCCCGCTTCCCGCCACAAGACAGGGTCGTACATATGCCCTGCCAGCCAGTCACCATCTGCATTGTACTTCCTCGGGGGGGCAAGGACGACATGGACGAGGGACGGGAGAGGAGGAGGGGGAGGAGGCGGAGGCGAGATGAGGAGAAGGCGCACGGGAGTGGGAGAGAGCAGGGGCAAGGAGGAACGAGCGAGGGTGCAGGATGCAGAAGGCAGTGGAAGAAGGAGAAGAGGAGCAGGAGGAGGAGGAGGACGACGACGACACGACGCCGACAAGGTGAGGAAGGCAGAGGCAGATGGCAAGGGCACAAACAATGCCGAGATTGAGGGGGGGGAGAAGAGGAGGTCGAGGAGGAGGAAGAAGCAGGGGATCTGGAACAGAGGGTACATGAAGAGGCTTAGGGCAAAGGACAAGTGGAGGGGGGCAGAGGAGGCGGGGAGGAGTAGGCACATGGGGAAGGAGAAGGGAGGAGGGAGGGACTGGCGAAGAGAAGGGCAGGGAGGCAGAGGGGAGGGGAAGAGGAGCAGGTGAGGGTAAGGAGGAGGAGGAGGAGAGGAAAGAACGAGCAGGAGGAGAAGAAGGAGGAGAAAGAATGGTGGAGACGACGACAGCTACCACGACGACGACGACGACGACGACGACGACGACGACGACGACGACGACGACGACGACGGCGGCGGCGGCGGCGGCGGCGGCGGCGGCGGCGGCGGCGGGGGCGACGACGACGACGACGACGGCGGCGGCGGCGGCGGCCGCCGTGGCGGCGGCTGGCCTTGGACCTCCGCCACTGCCCAGGACTGGCTCGACGAGGTGCGCCGCGCGCGCCGGCAGGAGATGCGGGATCCTGGCAGCGGCCGGGCCACCCACCTCCTCGCCCCTCTTCCTGTCACCCCTCCTCCTCCTCCTCCTCCTCCTCCTCCTCCTTCTCCTCTTCCTCCTCCGCCATTCCCTGCTTCTCACTTTTGCGGTCGCAGCGATGTGGTGGGCACCACTCGGTCAAACCATAGAGCGGGGTCTTTTTTTCACGCGCGCAGAGAGAGAGAGAGAGAGAGAGCGGCGGTCACCGCGGTCGTCGGGTGCACGTATACGCGAGGACGCCTGCGTCCACAGGTCTCCTTCTCCTCCTCGCCCATGGTCCTCCCGCCTCCCTCGTCATCATCACCACCATCATCATCATCATCATCATCATCAGATTCATCGGCACCGCCACCACCATCATCAGCATCATTATCATCATCATCAGCAGCATCATCATCATCATCATCATCACCATCATCATCCTCAGCATCATCATCATCACCATAGTAGTCGGTAACAACAGCAGCAGCATCAACAACATCATCAGCATCATCGCCCTCGCCGTCACCATCACTATCCTCGGCACCACCATCATCAGCAGCATCATCATCAGCAGCAACGTCATCATCATCATCATCATCACCATCATCATCATCATCATCATCATCATCGGACCTCGTGCCAGGCCGGGTGAATGGCAAGTTCTGCAGCAGTTAGTGGAGCAACACGCCGAGGCGCACAGGGACCTCTGGGGCACCGTCAAGAGCCTTAACAGATCTAAAGCACGCAAGCAAGTACCCGCCTGGTCGATTCCGAGGGAAGTCTGGCTTATGGGTGTTCGACACCGAGATGTTGATCAAGGTTTTCTTCGAGAGGGACCCTTTCATAATCTGGTTCTGCAGTTTTTTCTGGCTATCCGAAGGACCCGAGAGACCCCAAACATCTGGCATGTGAGCGAAGCCTGCCCCATCCCCAAGGGAAATGGAAAAAAATGCAAAGCGGAACGGATCATCCACCTCCTGGATCCTGTAGGCAAGTCTTACCACGGTGCTCTTTGGGCTCGACGTAATGTTCACAATTATCACAACTCAACGGGTTTTAAGACTGGACGTAGGCGGGAGCAGTCTATTTTGCAGATGCGCTGTATGCAGTGGCGCCTCTCCCAGCTCGGCCGTAGTTGGATTGAACCGTTCTACGACATGGCTAACGCCTTCGCCTCCGTCTCCCACCAGGCCCTCGACAGTGTGATCGATGCCGCGCTCGACGTCGACTCGGCTCACATCGTTAAACATCGACATCGACGAGCGATGACATATCTCGGTTCAAACAGTGGGGAGTGGGCTCTCTTGGATCTGGGGTGCGGGGACCTCCAGGGCGACGCCGCGGTTCCGTCTCGTTTCACATGTGTGTACGACCCCCGCATCCAGACCTGGATCGAAATCACGGAGGAGCAGGAGGAGTTTCAGTTTTTTCGAGTTCGTGAACCCGTCACAGGTGAAACGGTCAATGTCTCTTTTACCACTTTTGCCGACGACATGACTAGGATCGGGCTTTTGCATGGTGATTCTCAGGCACAGCTGGCGTCTGACAAGATGCAGGCCTGGGATGATGGCCTCAAGTAGGTGGTCACGGACACCACCGAGCTTGACCAGAATGGAGATAAGAAGGAGATTTTATTTCGATGCCATGGTCGTGGCTCTGCTGAACAGATGCAGGACTTCTACCATCAGCGTGGCTCTATTAGGTATAAGGGTACGGCTAAACAATGGGTTAGACACTTGGGGGGCTGGCACAATCTAGACGGGTGGACTTACTATGAGACAGATCAGAGATTGACGGCGGCTCGCATTGGGTGGTGTGCTCTGGGACGTTTTTGGACTTCCAAGGCTAGGAGGAGGATAAAACGCTTGGTTTATCAGAGTATGGTACGTGGGGCTATGCTTTCTGGGGGAGAGGCTCGGCTTTGGACTCGCAAGGATTTTGATGTGCTAGATCGTTTTGACCAGTCCCATCTACGAGTTTTACTCCAGGGTGCTAGTTGTGAACGCGAGGAGGTGGGAGGAGGGGTAGAACAAGTACGTACCTGGACTAATGAACGAGTTAGGGAAGAACTTCGTTTACCTACTTTGGAGAGTACTGTGCGTTTTCGACGGTTGCAATGGCTCTGGAAGATTGCCCCGGAGGCTCAGAACAACCTTTGTTTGCTGGCAGCGCTGACGGGTGCTCTCGGCGGCGAGGATCGCGGCCAGCTTACCTCATCAGGTCGCCCACGCCACGGTTGTAATCCATATCTTCGTGAATTCTGTCATGACCTTGATGTTCAGGGTCGAGTGCAGCCTCGCGTGCGCGAGGTGCTCCAGGAGAAAGGTTGGTTTGCTCTCTTTCTGCCAGAGAATACATCACTCCTTCGCCCCGATCGTGATCTCTTATGCTATATACGACCGCATGAACATGATAGGTTACACAATCCACCAGCTCTTCAAAATCGCAGTTTCGGAGATTTTCCGTGTGACGGCGTTTTCGACGACGGCACGGTCTGTACCCAGGTATTTCAATCCCGACGGGCCCTTCAGTGTCATAAACGACGAGCTCATCAAATCTTCGTGCCGCATCGGATCGCAGTGTTTTCAAATCAATGCAGTTGGTGTTTCAGAACGTTCAGTTCGCTCGACTCGCTTCGTCATCATGTCGAAGTCCGCGTTAAACGCCACGAATGTCCCAAACAGCGTGGAGGGAGTGCTTCAGCAGGTCTCGTGGGGCTCCAGCAACCAGCGCCGCTCGTGTCCCCTTTTGGGGAATATGAGGCCTCCAGTGTCCCTCTACTCCACGAACACGTTCGTAAGCATTTTGTGGTTCGAGCTGATCGTGAGGTTTTTCAAAGTCTTCCTGAGCGTGACGCCCCCGTCGTACCTGCCCTCGCCGATCTTCCAGATGGATCAGCTCCAGAGGCGCCTGGGTCAGGGCGCCGCGGGGCAGCCAGCAGCCGGCGACGGTCGCGCAGCCGCGCGGCGCGCGGTCGGAGGCAACTTCGACGAGGAGTATCGCTCCCTGGTGGTGAACACGGCGAAGACCGTCGTGGGGCTCGACCTGATGTCTCGTCGGTTTGCGGGATGTCTTACTCTCGCGGCTCTTGTGAAGGGTGCGCACACGCAGCTGATCGCCATGCGCGAAGCGGGCGTGACCTACGAGGAAGCGAAGACGCAGTACAAGCAAGCGGGGAATCAAGAGCAGCTGGCACAGCTCAAGTGGGCGCATCTCCACGTGTGGGTCGGCCTGTGCATGTCGATCGTGAACGACGCGACGATCCCCGCGGAGGCGAAGGCGAACGTGCTGGCCCACTCCCAAGCCGTGACAGGTGTGGGAGACATCGAGGACAAAGCTATCGTATGTTACCAGAAGAAGGCCTTCCGCCAGGCCAACTGGCAGGAGGACATGTATCGCATCGAGCTCTTCACGACTCCCGAGCTTCGAGCAGTGGCGCTCGAGATCCAGGCGTGCATCTTGAGGGCTGCAGGCAGTATCAAAAAGCAGGCAGTCCACCCAAAGGCCCCAACGTGCGGAAGGTCATTCAGAGCTTGGTGAACCTCGGGGAGTACCAGGCGCAGCCTGCCGAGCGGGGGTGACGCGAGGACGAGTGAGGCCACTTTCTGAGCGCTTTCGCGCGAGCTCCGCAGGCGGTGTAGAAACTCCAGGGTTTTTTTTTTCTCGGGCCTCTCCTCCTCCTCCTCCTCCTGAGACCTCTCTCGCTTCTGAGCCTAGGGAGGTTTCCGTGGTCCGAGTGCTTTCGGAGTCTGGGCAGTCTCGGTTTTTGCGGGCAATCTAGGATAGTCACTGGCGTGAGCGGCGCCTTGAAGTCAGTCTTCGAGGGCCTCGAGTACCTTTCCCCTCCTGGAGCTTCTTGGCCCTATAGGAGGGGCTGTGCTCAGGGGGCCAGTGCCATAGAGTGCCGAATCCATGGATTGTGCTCTTGCTCGCGTGGTGAGTTAAGACACAGTTGTTCTTTTGGCCGAGAAGGGTAAATGCCCACAGACCCGAGTTCCAGGTTTTTCAGCGTTCTACTGCCTTGACCTTCTGCTGGCCAGGGAGCTCACACGGGGGATGAATGAATGAATGAATCATCATCATCATCATCATCATCGTCGGCATCCTCATCGTCATCATCGTCGTCATCATCGTTTTCACCATCATCGTCGTCATCATCGTCGTCGCCGTCGTCATCATCAGCATCATCGTCGACCGCATCGTCGTCGTCACAATCATCAACAATAACATCATCAGCATCATGATCTCCCTCGCCATTACCATCACTATCCTCATCACTATCCTCGCCATCACCATCACTATCATTATATCCCTTGCCATCACCGTCACCATCACTTTCCTCGGCACCACCACCATCATCATCATCAGCATCAGCATCATCATCAGCAGCATCATCACCATCATCATCATTATCATCATCATCGTCATCGTCGTCGTCATCGTCATCGTCATCGTCACCATCATCGTCGTCGCCGTCGTCGCCGTCATCATCGTCAGCATCATCGTCGTCGTCGCCGTCGTCATCACCATCATCATCAACATCATCAGCATCATGATATCTCTCGCCATAACCATCACTATCCTCAGCACCATCATCATCAGCAGTATCATATCAGCACCATCATCATCATCATCATCATAAGAATCATCATCATCACCGTCATCGTCATCATCGTCATCATCGTCATCATCATCGTCGTCATCATCGTCGTCGCCGTCGTTATCCTCATCAGCATCATCGTCGTCATCGTCGCCGCCGTCGTAGCCGTCGTCGTCGTCATCATCATCATCACCACCCTCGCCATGACCATCAGCACCATCACCACCACCATAATCATCAGAATCATCATCACCATCATCATCGTCATCATCATCACCATGAGGCCCAGGCCACGGGCGACTCGAAGAACGCGCACCGCAGGTCTATCGCTGATCTCCCGGCGTCCGGGGACCCGATTCGGGTTTCCAGGCTTCGGGGTTTCGAGAGACAACCCCAGGCGAAAAAAACAAATTGTGGGTCAAGGGTTCGGGGGACAGTATTTTGAAGAATTTGCGTCGGCGGAGGTTTGGGCCATCATCATCATTTCCATCGTAATCCCTCTTTGGTATCCTCCTCCCCCCATCCTCCCTCATCTCCATCACCCCCATATCCTCCTCGTCTTCGCATCCTCCCCCATCCGCCCCGCCCTGTTCTCGTTCAGCACGCTCCGAGGCCCAAGGCCAGTCCATGATCGGCGCATTGAAAGCGATGTAAAACCTGGCAGCAGGACACCAATTGCAGAGGGGAAGGTACGCGGACGTCGCTACACCCACGTGACCCGTCACTGAGCACTGTTTTTTCCCTCGGCCCTCCAGGCAATGCCGCGTCGCCCAGAGGCGGGCGCGCATCAAGGCAGAGTCACCAGAACGCCGAGCAGCGACGAATCCACAGTCTCGATAACCAGCGGACTACTCGCCACGCTCAACCGTGCGAGAAAGATGCCATGTGGGCCTGGGCCTGGGCGGGGGCCAAGTCAGGGCCAAAGTGTTACGAGCTTCAGATCCCCAGAGAGGTATCCAGCTCTGAAACAGGACGCGAAGTCCTTGCCCACAGTGCCTCCCCCCCTAGTTGGGAGCAGAGGCAGAGGCAGACGGGATGGGAGCGGAGGCAGCTGTCACAACTGGTACCAGTGCATTGGAAGCGTGCTTGTGGGGCGTGGCCTTCGTGGCAGCCCTACTCGACGCCCCCAGGACAGCAGAGGATTGTGCAGCATGTCGGGAGGTTGTTTTGGATGTGCAATATCTCAACGTAGTACGCCTTGCTAACCTTGTGAGGTAGTCGCATGCAGCAAGTGATGAGCATGTCGCGACGGGCATGCGCAGAGAGCCTCCTACACACGAAAAAACAGACGCTGCGTATACTGCGGCAAACAGGAAACAGGTAACAGTGCCCCCACCCCCCGCCCGTCCGATGTCCTGGCGCGCCCCCCAACGGGGCCGTCCGCGACAGTCTGGCCGCCAACCGCGGGCGCTCAAAGGACCCCGTGGTTCGCGCTGCAGCACCAGCCCTGACACCGAAAAACTGGCCGGGGCACGCAGTGTCGCGACGAGGGGCCCACAAGGGCCCCCGACCCAGGGGGTAAAACCGCCGACCCTTCGGGCCCCCTCGGGAGGAGAAGGAGGAGGAGGAGGCGAATGAAGAGGAGGCGCGTGGGCCCAGCTTGCCCGCGAACCATCCCAAGAAGCCCCGACGAGAGTCTTCGTTGTGATGAAGACGCAGCCATGCATGCTGATTTCCACCCTTCAGATTTTAACCCGTGCGTTGCGCGCCTCAACATGGTTCAGGTCCTTCCCCGCTGGTTGTGCCCTGGGATGCCCAGCCCGAGGTGATGAGGATCTAGATCCAGTCGAACATTACACTTGCTGCCCTCGGCTTGCAGGTCTATTTGGGTACCGGTTTGGTTCTCTCTGTCTGTCGTCTTCATCGTTTCCCGAGGGCTCGCCCTGGTTCCTCCACTTCCTCCTGCTGACACGATCACCGCTGACGTCCAATGTTCAACTTGCTGCCTATATTGATGCTTCCACGTCCCTCCACAAGTGTAGACGCCTGATCGTCCCTGGCAAACCAGCTCAGCTGTTCAAGGCTCGACTCAGAGTCAAAGCCAGGCGTCATCGTGCTTTGGCGCTTAGATGGCACCAGCACGCTGTTGCGCGGTTCCCCCTTTGTCCCTTACCCTCCTTCGTGTGCAAGATGGTGCGACGCCAGTGCGAGCAAATGATGACGACGACGACGCCCCGCCTGTCCCGCCCGCCCCCGCCAGCCCGTCCCGACCGCCTGTCTTACCCGCTCGCTTTATCCCGCCCGACCCGCCCACCCGACCCGCCGTCGTCGTTTGCTGGCGGTGAGTAAGGAGAGGGGGGGAGGTCGCAACCTCCTTCCCCCTCGTCGACGAGGGGAGGTCGTAGCCTCCCTCCCTCTTCCCTGGAGGGAAGAGGGGTGGTGGTGGGGAAGTTTAAGAGGTTGGTCCCTTTTGTTTATGGATGTATTGTTTGTCCCCTGGATGGGCGGGAGTGGGGAGGGTCGGAGACTCCTTTCGGAGGGCGAGGGAGGTTTTCCAAGGCAAGCTAGCTTGAGACACGCTTTCTCCAAGGTAGGGAGGGCGGAGAAAGGAGGGGGGAAGCGAGGGGGGAGGAGGGGGGGAGCCCCCCGGGGTGGCAGTCGATGCCAACCTGGTTCTCGGCGAGGTTCCGAAGGAGCGCCAGCGAAGGGGCAGGAGGAGGAGGAGGAGGAGGAGGAAGGAGAGGAGGAGGAGGAGGAGAGGAGGGAGAAGGAGGAGGAGGAGGAGGAGAGGAGGACGAGGAGGATGAGGATGAAGGAAGGGGGATGAGGAGGGTAGGAGAAGGAGGAGAGAGGAGGCGAGTGAGGAAGAGGGAGGGGGGGGGTGGCGGAGGGACGGGCCGGGACGCGACCCGGACACCTGACGTCGCGATTCCTTGACAGCGTGGCTCCCCAGAGGTCTGGTCCCTTTGTTGGGGACCCGCTTTTCATCCTGGGTCGTTGTTTTGACCGTCCTGGGGGGGCCGCAAATGGCCAGAGACCTTCCGCCGTGATCTTCTTCTCGACGTGGGGACGTCTCAGAGGGAGAGGAGTGGGGGATGGAGGAGGAGCGGGGTGGGGGATGTCAGAGGGAGAGGTTGTCAGAGGGAGAGGAGCGGGGGTGGGGGACGTCGACCCCCGCGGCCCCGCAGGAGAGGCGCGCGGAGGGGCGCTGCGTGTGCGCGTAGCGGGCCGCCACACGCCGCGATCCCCCGCGCCGCACGGCGGGAGCGCCCCTGCCTGCAGCGAGGCGAGGGCCTCCGGCCGAAGTCCCGCGCCCGCGCCTGCGCCCGCCACGGAGGAGAAGTGGGAGTCCTCCCCCTCCTCCTCCTCCTCCTCCTCCTCCTCCGCCTCCGCCTCCGCCTCCACATCTTTTTTTTTTTTTTTTTTTTTTTTTTTTTTTTTTGCGTTTTTTTTTTTTTTTTTTCTTTTTTTTTTTTTTTTTTTTTTTTTTTTTCTTTTTTTTTTTTTTTTTTTTTTTTTTTTTCTTTTTATTGTTCTTTTTTTTTTTTTTTTTTTCCTATTCCCCAGAGGTCTGGTCCCTTTGTTGGGGACCCGCTTTTCATCCTGGGTCGTTGTTTTGACCGTCCTGGGGGGGCCGCAAATGGCCAGAGACCTTCCGCCGTGATCTTCTTCTCGACGTGGGGACGTCTCAGAGGGAGAGGAGTGGGGGATGGAGGAGGAGCGGGGTGGGGGATGTCAGAGGGAGAGGTTGTCAGAGGGAGAGGAGCGGGGGTGGGGGACGTCGACCCCCGCGGCCCCGCAGGAGAGGCGCGCGGAGGGGCGCTGCGTGTGCGCGTAGCGGGCCGCCACACGCCGCGATCCCCCGCGCCGCACGGCGGGAGCGCCCCTGCCTGCAGCGAGGCGAGGGCCTCCGGCCGAAGTCCCGCGCCCGCGCCTGCGCCCGCCACGGAGGAGAAGTGGGAGTCCTCCCCCTCCTCCTCCTCCTCCTCCTCCTCCTCCGCCTCCGCCTCCGCCTCCGCCTCCCTCCCATCCTCCGCCCTTCCACATCCTCATCCTCCTCTCCTCCCCCCCTCCTCCTTCTACTCCTCCTTTTTTTCTCCCTCCTCCTCCTCCTCATCGCCTCATTCTTGCCATTACCTCCTCCCTTCTCCCACCTTCCTCCCTCCTCCTCTCTCCTCCCCTCCTCTCCTCTCCTCTTCTCTTCCTCCTCCTCCTCCCTCCCTCCTCTCTCCTCCTTCCTCCTCCTCTCCGCCTCCTCCTCATACTCCTCCTCCTCCCTACTCTCCTCCTTTTCCTCCTCCTCCTCCTCCTCCTCTCCTCTCCTCACTCCTCCTCCTCTCCTCCTCCTCCTCCTCCTCCTCCTCCTCCTCCTCCTCCTCCTCCTCCTCCTCCTCCTCCTCATACCCCTCCCCCTCCTCCTGCTCATGCTCCCCAAACCAGGTGGTGAATATCAGGTGGGGGTGCTGGTTAAAGAACGTGCCCAGAAAGCTTCAGACCTTGGGGGGTCCTTATCTCATAAGGGTGGCGGTGATGTCCATTGCCCCAGTCCAAGATCGGAGCCCCACTGGCTTCCGGACCCTGGGTTCCTTGTTCAATGGTTGCTTATCCAACGCCCTCACCGTATCAGGTGGCGACCTCGAATCCCCCAAAAGTCACCGCCAGGTTTTGGAACACGGGTTCACAGCTGGGACATTAGCGTTCGGGACATCTTCGAAGAGCCACACAAGTCCCCAAACCGAGTTTCACCGCCGGGTGTTGTTACCACGGTATTTGGGGATTACCAAGACGAGGGTCCTGACACGGTTGGGGACGTGTCCTTATCATTTCGCGCCGCCAGGTCTGGCCCACCACGCGTCGCACGGCACGCTAACCGTACCCCAGTTCGCAGGCATCAGCGTACCGAGCTGTGCCACGGTGCGGAGCGACGCGCAATCGGTTCGCAGGGCATCGCGTGTCGCCGGGGCCGCCGCCGCAGCACGCTGAGCAGCAGTTTTTGACCGCAAGACGCGCCAACAGGGGGGGCGGGGACTGGCCTGGGAGAGGAAACATCGACCCGAAACCGCCCATCGGGGCACGGTTCCCCCACCCGCGCGGGAGAACGTGCGTTTTTGCCGTTGGGAGCTCATCGCCGATCTGCCGGCGACTTGGCATCGCTCGGACGCGTGCATTTCTCCTCGGCGAGGACCATCGAGGAGCGTCCTGCATCGTCTTGCAAGAAAGGCGCGCACGAAACCGAAACATGCACGGGGACGGGACATCCGAGCGATGGCGAGGCGATGCATAGCCGATTTCGGGCCCCTGGAGCAAGTCACCCCCCCGCCCACCCCTGTAGGAGGAGGAGGAGGAGGAGGAGGAGGAGGAGGAGGAGAGGAGGGAGGAGGAGGAGGGAGGAGGGAGGAGGGAGGAGGGTGGAGGGAGGAGGGGAGGAGGAGGTGGAGGAGGAGGAGAGGGAGGGAGGAGGAGGGAGGAGGGAGGAGGAGGAGGAGGAGGAGGAGGAGGGGGAGGAGGTGGAGGCTAGGTGGAGTGCAGGGAGAGAGGACAGGAGGTATAGGACTAGGAGGCGTCGAGGAGGAGGAGGAAGTAGGAGGAGGAGGTGGGGGGAGGCGGACCCTGGGTTTCCGTCGCCGCTCTCAGGCACAGGCGGCTCGGGACGGGAGAGGCCCGAGGTCCGGGGCCTGCTTCCCTTGGGGGCCCGCGTGCTTCACGCCGATAGTTCTCCCCCCTCCTCCTCCTCCTCCGCCCTCCTCCTCCTCCCCTCCTCCTCCTCCTATCCTCCTACCTCCTCCTCCTCCTTCATCCCTCCTCCTCCTCCTCCTCTCTCCCTCCTCCCTCCTCCTCTCCTCCCTCCTCCTCCTCCTCTCCTCTCCTCCTCATTCCTCTCCTCCTTCCTCATCCTCCTTCATCCTCTCCTCTCCTCCTCCTCCCTCCTCCATCCTCCTTCCTCCTCCTCCTCTCCTCCTCCCTCCCCTCTTCTCTCCTCCTCCCTCGAGAGTCGAGGACCGATGCTCTGCACGTTTCTGGCCGTGTTTGGGCCCCCTGGGGGGGGCATCCCAAGGGCCCCTGGTGTCGTCTGGCACCCTCCAGAGGTCTCTGGGCACCTCTGGGTGCCTTCGGTGGCTTCCAGAGGCCCCCTGAGAAATCCAGAAACCTCCTGCTCCTCCTCCTCGTCCTCCTCCTCTTCCTCTATCGTCAATCCTCCTCCTCCTCCTGCTTCTTCTTATCCCCATCGCGCCCGCTGATTGCAGTCGTCTGCAGCTTCTCGGCCCGAGCTTGCCCCGCTTCGGCCCCCGCCGCCCCTCCCGCGCCCGCGCGACCAGGGGCGCCGGGAGCCTGCGCCGGCCCCCGCTGCTCAGGTGTCCATCGACTTCTACGCGGCGGCGGCTTTCTTCTCGGACCACGCGTGGGCCGCCGCCCAAGGCGGTGGTCCACCCTCCCCCCTCGAGCGCGGTATTGCACGGGGCCCACTTTCCCGTCAATCCGTTCTCGTGTGGGGCGAGCCCGACTGCGCCGAGCAGCCAGTCGGTGACGGCACGGGGTTGCCTCCCTGTTCGGGTTGGCTCGCGCCACTCCTTCCTGCACGCTGCTTGCCTGCAGGCGGGGCGCTCGCGCGCCCCTCAGGCCACCTGTCCTACAGGCGCCTGTCGCCAACGGCCTCCTGGCCCATGGCGTCCGCGGCTGCACCCCCAGCTTTCCGCGGTACCGACCCGCCGCGCTGGTGCCCCCCGACGGGCCCGCCGCCTCCTCTGCAGCAAAACCTTCCTCCACCTCCCCCTCCTTTCTCCCGCCATTCTTCCCCTTCTTCCTCTGGGGTGGCGGAGTTGGAGACTCATGGGAGGACCGGAGGAAGGAGAGGTGGAGCTTGCAAGCCATGTGCTGCGGCACCTGATCAGTCCAATGTCTCGCGAGGTGCTCCGGCGCACAGCTCCTACGCCCGCCTCCCGATGGCCCCAGACGGCGCACTGTCTCTGCCTGCCAGTCGTGCCGCCAGCGAAGCCACTGCCGATGAGAGCATCCCTCAGAGCCGCCCGTCAGAGGGCACAGGCGCCAACGGTGCGAAGCCAACCGCGCTATGGGTGGAGGAGCCGGAGTTGGTTGACCCTTCTAACCTCCACCTCCTCGCTACTCCTTCTCCTCCCCTCGCCGCCTCGCCCTGGCTCAACCTTGATGCTTGGCGGAGCTGCCCTCGTGCGGACACCTGTGGCTTCGAGGTCGCTGAAGGCTTTTCCTGTCCCGCGGGGTGGGGCGCCGGCGGCGCTACGACGATTCCGCCCTATCCTGGCTGGGACGCTCCAGCGCGCGAGCCGCCCGTCTTGCCTGGGCTGGCGAGTACGGTGCAACGCCCCCGCCCGCCTCCAGGGCTGGATCCTCCACCGCTTTCCATGAGCTTGCAGGCGGACTCGCCGCCAGGCTTCGCTGGGCTGGAGGGCGCCCCGCTCGCGATGGGGCCGTTCCCCACTCTCGCTGACGTGGAGGCTGGTGCTCGCGTGCTCCCGTCAAATTCCATGATCGCCATCGCTCCGACATATGGGGTTCACCTGTCAGGAGGTGCCAACTCGCAGTGGACTTTCATCGAGAAGCACGTTTCGCACCCTCTGGTGCGCACTTCCTTTCTGCCGCCGATGCACGCGTGGGACCCGCACACGGGCTCCGACATGCAGAGCGCGGCTCCGCCACCAGGCTTCGCCGGCTTGGAAGCTGGCGCACGGGTGCCGCCTTTGGTCGACTCCCGCGCGTCCGATGCAGCGGGTGGGGGTCCGTGGCTTAGCGGCGAGCGTCTGCCGTGCACCGGGTCGTCGCCACTGCCGTTTTGGCGCCCCACGGCCGCCGTCGGTGACCGCGCGGCTGGCGGAGCCGCCGTGAGTGCGGAGTCGCCTCCTGTCGGTGGTGGCTCGCCTTCCCACGTCGGGCGGTTTGGGCCGCCGCCGGGCCTCGCCGACCCACAGGCGGGAGTTCATACGCACCCGTCTCTCCACCCTAGCAATGTTCGCCCGGCTTCTTTGACTGCACAACCGAACCTGGAGTCCGCCGCCGTGGCGCCGCCGTCGACGCACGTCTGCGCGACCGCTGCCTTGGTTGGGACTCCGGCGCTTGTCAGCAGTATTCACCTGGTCGCTACGCCAGGCGGTACCTCGTCGGCTCGGTGTCACCATTCACCGCCTGGGCTCGTGGCGCTGTCGGGTCCCGAGGCCTGGTGTGCGGGTCTGCCTCTGGACCTCGCCGGTTT